AACTTTGACTGCCACATCATCAAATCACGCGGAGTTGATAGCTCTCTACGAAACAGGTAGAGAATGTGTATGGTTGCGATCAATGATCCAACATATCCAGAGTGGGTGCGGTATAGAAACAATTACTAGTCATCCGACTCCTATATATGAAGACAATACTGCATGCATTGCTCAAGTGAAAGGAGGTTACATCAAAGGAGACCAAACAAAGCATATATCACCAAAGTTCTTCTCAACACATGATCTCGAGAAAGATGGAAAAGTTGACATCAAGCAAATCAAGTCTAGTGAGAATCTCGCTGGTTTATTTACAAAAGCGTTACCCCCGAAGAAATTTGAAGAACTCGTACACAAGATTGGCATGCGTCGCCTCCGTCAATTATGCTAAGCTGAGGGGGAGAATTTTATGAACTGTACTCTTTTTCCCTTGATCAGGTTTTTATCCCACTGGGTTTTTCCTGACAAGGTTTTTAACGAGGCAGTACATAAAATTAGAATGGGTTACTAAACTATGTCCATTTCACGAAGTACTCATCATTAATTGAAAAATAAACATTCAAGGGGGAGTGTTATGAAATTAATAATTGTTCATTTATTCAATTAATCAGGACTAATTTCTAGAATAGTAGATTAAGACACTCATTGATGAGTATCAATTATGTACAGTACTTCCCACTTGTATTTGTATCCATACCAAGGCTCTCCACTATAAATAGAGGCCTAATCCCTGCATTGTAATCATCATTAAGAATAAGAAGAAGAGTGAAGAATTAATAGAGAGAAGAAATCAGAAATATATTATATCTATTCTCATAATCTCTGAGTAGTTTTTCTCTCATTTTATAACAAAAACATTAATATTACAAAAAGTATTGATGGGATCGGAAAAAATTATGTAGCGTTGAAAATGATTTAGGTGGCCATTGTACGTGCGAGTGGTGGAGGTGTTGAGGCATTAAATTCATTGCCTTTTTAATGCATTATTGTATTACCAAATTGTCCCTGCATGTCAATTTATGCATATTCCTTCGCACAAGCAATTATTACCTTCCATAAAAATAGCATGTCAATCTCTTAATTCTTTTAATGGGGGTCGTCAGATGCATTAATCCAATGGTTTATATTTATTCTCATTTCTTTCACCAAGAGTCATTCTCACCTGAACCAATCCCTATATATATAAATATATATATATATATATATATATATATATATATATATATATATATATATATATATATGTATGTATGTATGTATGTATGTATGTATGTATGTATGTATGTATGTATGTATGTATGTATGTATGTATGTATGTATATATATATATATATATATATATATATATATATATATGAAGTCTAGAATACATTTGTGTGTAGTGGGTGTTTGTTTTGCAATATACAAACTCCATAAAGCCCATCCGTGCTCCCTCTGAAACTGTCCCCTTTACCAGACCTTGGCTGAAGACATTACTGTCAGGGCCACTGTGTTTGACCCGGTATTTTGTATCACTGAAATGGACGGTCCATCTCGAGGCTTTCCAGCTCAATTGTGTTTTTTACACATTTTTTGAAGTAAAGACTCATATTTCTGATTTTTCTAATAAGTTCTCCCAGTCTATTTATCTTTCTCAATAGTTAAGAAGTGAAGAGCTAATATTAAATGTGTTTCTCTTTTAGGGCTTCTCTTTTTGAAGCTTTGAAAACAGACAGAACTTTCAAAGCAAAAAGTGTGCCTTCAATGCCTTTTGAAGAGCAGCTGCATGCAGGTTTCCAGATGACAAATAGTTTTCCTTTTAATTCGTAAACATTTTCTTTCAATTCGTAATTCTGATGCCTTAATTAGAATCAAAATATGCCTAATTGCATACCTTATTTCACCAATTGCTTGATTTCCACAATTTTATTCTGCCTATATATAATGTTTCTTCACGAACAACCCACCACACCCCTTCTTACGCAATTTATTTCCTACAAATCCAGACCTCTTTTACGGCTATCATGTCAAAGACTATTCATCCTCGTCAAAAATCACTCCGACCGAAGAGTGTTGGAGGATCATGGTTCGTGTAATAAGACTATGTACCCTACCCGTATATAGTGATGAGAAGACCACAAATTCTATTGAGATTGTGTTCATGGTCAAACATGTAAGTCGAAGTCTCATAATCCACCATATAACTCATTTGATATTTTTTTAAGTTATACTATAGCCATTATTGAATTGGAGCTTGGACGATATTTTTTAAAACCATCTAATTTACGGGATTGGTTCTTTTATAGTATTATCTACATTCTTTTTAAGATCATATGACTTAAATGTTTTCTTTCCCACAAATTTAAATGCTACTTAAAATTTTTTTTGAAAAATATTACAAATGTAAATTATTAAACACATCCCTTTACCGAGCATTATTAGAGTATAGTATGAAATAATATAATTTTATTACAAAAGCCTTAAATCTAAAGATGATGCAGTTGACTTTTATTGATGGTTTTGTTACGAAATCATGTAGGGAAGTACTCATGCCACAATCCGAAGAAGTTGGGTTGGAACTTTTGAGTTGTATTACAAAAGCCTTCGTGTTATGAGTTGTATTACAAAATTTCTGTGTTGCTTTTTCGGTTGAAGTAGCTACACGTTCTTTTATGATAATGTTCACATCAATCACTTAAATGTTTTGATTCATAATACAGTCTATATCTTTTAACATTCTAATAGGTTATTTTGTTTATTACACGTTAGATTCATTAAGTGAAGAACCTTGGGATGGTTACATTAACAAAGTTGGGGAGTTCAGGACTTTATCACCAACGTGCAAGATTGGGATCTTAGTTAGATTGGGTTTCTCAAATAAGGTAAGCAGTGATATCAATGCTTGGTTTATTGACTCAGGATCTTGCAAAGCTGGGGATACATGAGGTAAGATTAAAGAGGTTATTGTCCTTTACCTAATGTTAAAGTGGAATGAACCTTCACCTTTATCTCCAAATCCAATACATTCAAACAAAAAAACAATAATAACTCCAATACTATTCTCACCAAATAAAATGGAAACTC